ATGTGAGGTGAGTCTGCGGAGGAGGAACAGGCCCCGAGGACAGGCAGAATGTGCAGGAGCTGGTGACTCAACTGCAGAGCATGTGAGGAATCGCTCCGAAGATGGGAGCTCCTCCTCCCTGCAGGCCCAACCTGTGCTTGTGTTCCTGATGGGAAAGCAGAAGCCAAGGGGAGCAGTGAGGACCCAGGTGTGGAGGGCTCTGCTAGCCAGAAACTTCACCCAGGGATGTCTCCTGAGGTTTCCTTGTTCTGAGAAGTGGCCCCTTCCAGTTACCCCGCTATCACGCAGCTTACAGCCATGTAAACGGGAAGGACAGGGGCTGCGGGTCTCTGTATGCAACTCCTTCCAGATGAGACCTGTGTGGCCAGTGAATCCAATCATTGAACCCAAGGCCTCAAGGTTGAGCACTGCTTCAAAACACCCAAGAGAGAACTCAGAGAGCCCTGTGGCAGCAGGGCTTTGTGGCAGCCTAGAAATTCACTATTTACCCAGTCCTTGGCTATTGCAACTGGGGGACAGAGTCCACATCACCTCCAGACCAATAGCCTGTCTATAGATTCAGAAGAGGGAAAAGCAGGGGCCTGATGCTCCTGATTCGTTAGCCAACTTCCAACGGACGCTCACCCATCACTTCCGAGAGGAAAACTGTTAGTAACCTCCTCCCCACTAGACTAGAACAAGGTCCCTAGGACTGCCTTAGACATCGACACGTCTCCTGGAGCCTGTACGCTTGCCCATCTATACTCATGAGTGTGTAGCCAGTGTGTGTACGGTGTGAGCCTGCATGTCTGTACCCAGTGTGTGTACGGTGTGAGTCTGCATGTGTGTAGCCAGTGTGTGGTGCAAGTGCACTAGTGTGTGGAACTGTCCAATCCCTGACCCTGCAGTAGGCTGAGCTGCTGTAGAGGACAGGTTACCCTGTGGCATCACGGGCCTGGACCTTGGGTATCAGGTCAAGTAAGGGGTTGGAGAGCTGAAGGTGAAGGCAGCACCTGGCCAAGAGTAAGGGGGCTCAGCACTCAGGCTGGGAGGGTCAGGAGGGAGGCGCTCCCCCACAGACCTCAGTTTCCCCCCGCCGCAGCCTTCTCCTTCAGAGAGTCTGGACTAAACAGACGAGGAGGCCACTTGAACTTCAGAGGCATGACAGACACTCCTTGGCATCTGGGTCTATGAGACTATGAAAAAACATTTAGATTCGGAAATACAACTGTCAATTTAAAAAAAAAATAGTTTACTAGGAATGGTTAACTCTTTCAATGTTGTAGCATTTTTAACCTTGAGACAGATTGAAGCCATACCACAATGGCCCTGTAACTGTTCTAGTCCACATTAGATTCGGAAGAAAAACACACCTGATTGGTCCCTAGACTGATAGCTGGGAAACCAGCATGGAACTGATATAGACGGCCTGAATGTGGGTGTCAGTGAGGAGACCTTGGAAATCTATGGGGCCTCTTGGAGTGGATCAGTACTTATCGCTACTATAGGAATGGACTTTAGGAGCCCATCTCACATAGAGGGATACTCCCTGAGCCTAGGCACAAGGGGGTTGGCATAGGCCCTATCCCAAAGGATATGACAGACGTTGAAGACCCCTATGGAAAGCCTCACCCTTCCTGGGGAGCAAAAAGGGTATGGGATGGGTAGGGTGTTAGTTGGGGGAGAGGGAGGAGGGGAATGAGAGGGACCTGGGATTGACATGTAAAATAATTTTCTTTCTAATAAAAAACAAACAAACTAACAAAACACACCTGAACTGGGGCTCTACTTGAAAGAAGGTGGATGTGGGACGGGAGAGATGGCTCAGTGAAGAGCACTGGCTGCTCTCACAGAGGACCTGTTCAATTCCCAGCACCCACATGGTGGCTCACGACCGTCCATAACTCTAGTTCCCAGGGGATCCGACACCCTCTTCTGAACTCCATAGCCACCAAGCACACATGTGATGCACAGATATACATGCAAGCAAAACACTCATCCACATATATGTTTAAAATAATTAGGTAGGTGGTCTCCAGGTCAGGGCTCAGGCCAGACACTCAAGAGTGACTTCAAAGAGGATGTGGAGGCCAGGCCGCTATCGCCACAGCCAGCTGGCTCTACGACATCCTGGAAGCGCACACTGATAGTGCTCCCTGGAAACAGGCCATGGGGGTGGCTGAGAACCGGGAGGCTGGGGCCCTCCCCGCCCACAGCTGCCGGGCCACGTTCAGGAGCCACATATAGACAAGGCCTGGGCAGCAGCCAGCACTTCCCAGTGTCTCAGGGTGATGTTATCGCTGTTCAGGGAACATTCCAGAAGAAACGCGCCTGGTGTTTATTCAACATTTGGCTTCTAAGCAGCACAGAAGCCTGTGGAGTGTCGGCCTGGGCTGCTGCACAGCCTGGGAGCCAGGCTTATGCCTGTGTCTCACACACCCCAGCACCCTCCATTCAGTTCGGGCATCCTGGAGTCTCGTCCTTCACCTATCGTAACCAAGTGAAGTCTAGGGTGCCCACAGCCAGGGCAGCGGAGGGAGGCTGTGGGCAATGTGAAAGGTGAAGGTCCACCTATTTACTCCATCATTCATTCATCCAATGACAGGGCACAGGAAGCACCCTCTACCCACTGTCCACAGCTTCCAGCCTGTGGGAAAAGAAATAGCTCGTATAGAACAAAGGGCATGCTGCACACGTGTGTGTACAGCACACAGCGGCTGGAGAATGTGGCCACAGCTGTGCCCTCAGGCTGCTTTATCATTCCCCCAGGCCTCTGGCTCTCCAACATCACTGTCACCTCGCCTCCCAATCCAGTGGGGTTCCACAGACTGCTCATCTCAGAAAAAGAAATGCTAAAAACCCAAGTGCCAAGCAAGATGCCAAGACCAATTTCCTATTCTGAGGAACTTCATATTCCCAGAAGAGTCAAGAGTGGGCAGATTTGGAAATGGGAGACATTGCAGATGTAGCTTGTATGTGTAGACTGTATATGCAGTCGGGTGGGACACACTTGTGATGCCAACTATTGGCAGACTGGGGCAGGAGGTTTGCCACAAGTTTGAGGCCAGCCTGGGCTACACAGCAAGACCCTGTCTCAGCAACAAATATGGTCAGAGCAGAGGGCCCTAAGTCTAGTGTGACTGTTCTGAGCACATGCATACAAGCTCCCATACTCTCTTCCCCTCCCCCATGACCCCCAAATCCTGGGACCAGAGCAGTGTGGGGCAGGGCTGTGAGCATTTGGCCTCCACTGTTTCATTATGCCACCCAGTTGGTACAAGGCTGCCACCACCCCACTGTGTGGCCACGCCAACATGATCCTAAACTTATCCTCAGAGCAGTACCAAGTCCTGTGAGATGACCTAGTCACCCAACTGTCCAAGCCTGTTGGATCAAGGGAGACTAGGCTGGGTGCTCAGCAGCTTCGGGGTGCTCCACGTATTGACTTATGGTATTTTCGTCCACATTGAAGGCCAGTTATAATTTATCTCAGCACACAAGGGTAAGCTATGTGGTCCTGCCCGGGATTGGGGGTCCTGCTTCAGCAGACTGGCAGCCAGGAAGGAACACCACAGTAGAAATGTAAAAGGGGGCCGAGGAGAGGGCACACGACAGGGGAACAAGTCCAGGCCATACTGTAGTATGGCTCAGGTCTGGCTGGCTGCTGAGAGTTTAGGTCCCTCAGTGTCCCAATCACCAGGTCTCACGATGGCTTCCATTCCAACTACCATACACACCCCAGTAAGGATGGGGCGGGCAGGCCCAGTCTTGCTTAGGATAGAAGAAACTCCATGGTCAGGGTCTGGGCTCAAGGGGGACACTGTTAGCTGGGAGTCCCTTACTCCGGGGCCACTGACTTCTCTTCCTTTGTTGGGCATGTTTTGCTAACAAAGTACTTGAGAATGGGTGTAGGAGGAAAGGTCTGTCTGTCCCTGGTGGCTTGGCTCCACAGTGGTGACATCACAGCAGGCCTGCTCAGTTCATGTGATTGAAAATCAAAGAGGGTCCCAATGTCCCCTACATGGACACACTCCCAAAGAGCTAACCTCACTGGGCCCCGCTTCCTCCAAATTTAGCTACCAGTTTCAACAGAGGGTCTCCGGGGACAGTCACAGTAGCATCCCCACAGCTGGCCGTCCCTGCTCAGCAGACATTCACTCTCAGAGACAAATGTACCCAGGCTGCCTCCTGCTGTCCCTTGTCCCCACTGTCTGACTACCCTGACCCTTCCTTGGTGGCCAGTGTATCCTAAGCAGAGTGTGGCTGGAGAAGCCAGGCTCCACCTCAGGGAGGGAAAGACCAAGGCACTGCTGTGCCCCAAGGTCACTTCATCCGCTATGTAACTTTCAAATCGGCACCAAAACCAGGGAACTGTTATGTTCCACAGAAATGTATTGCCATGAAATTCATTCTATAAAGATTAGGAAACACAAAAATCCATCATCCATGCAGAGAGCTGCTTTCGTGGGATCTGCCTCCCATGTCCATACAAATGAGGAAAGCACATGCTTTGTCTGAAATAGGGTGGCCACAGCTGATAGACCCCTGCCTGCCTACGATGTCCATCCTCTAGCCAGCTGGGGCCTCTCAGGCCACTCTCTTGCAGCGATTCTGAGGCAGTCCCAGTGACCCCCGGCTTGACTCTTTTCCTGCTCGGTCCATGTTAAGTTCCCTCCACTGGGCTGGCCCAGACCTGCTGCAACTGCCCTGTATATGAAGTTGGCCTGCAGAATACTCTCCCAAGTAGGACCCTGAAGGGTGGCCCAAGGTTCCCCAGCAGGCACCATGAAAAGGTGCTAGCAGCCATGGCCAGACTGGAAGTCACATCACAGAAACCCCAGTACCCAGAGCGTGATGAGGACAGGTAGGTTGTACCGGCCACACTGGATGGTACTTGCACCACAGGTGGGCACAGCACACATGGTTTCTCTTAATGAGAATCTATTCCCCCATAGCCAGGCAGCCCCAGCGTCTCAGCCGATGGCTGGAATGGCCTCTGATGAAGAGAACTTGACTCTGTGTCCAGGCCTGGTAACTCTTTTTATTTATTTGGTTTTTTGAGACAGGGTTTCTCTGTGTAGCCCTGGCTATCCTGAAACTTTCTCTGCAAACCAGGTTGAGCTTGACTTCTGCCACACCCAGCTTAGGCCTATTCACTCTTATTCACTTTCATTCACCAAGTGCCCTATGATGTCCACACCAGGACTGAGGGCCTCATCTGCTCAGTCCAGGCTCCACTACTGCTGGTCCTGGCTCATGGGGGATGAGGGCCTGTGAGGGTGGGGCCTGAGCATGTGGGTCCCCCTGTAAAGGCTAGGAACCACCTTGGGGTGGGAATGAGAAGTCACACCAGCATCTCCCAGATGTAAGGCAGGACATGGGTCATTTTGGGTGATGGGATCTGTGGGTGCTGCCCTCAGCTTTCACATCCGGAGACTCACTAATGTCTAACACAAGTCCATCTTGCCACCCAGCCAGAGAGACTACAGAGCTGGGCCCATTCTGCTTCCAGGCAGGAGTGAGGAGCCTCGGCTGAGAAGCCAAAGATACAAGTGGTGTGGCCCGGACAAAGGCACAGGATGTGAGGAGCAAGGTGGTCAGTTGGGGTGTTCTGCTGTGATCAGGATCCCAAAGAGTTGGGAGGACTGCCGAGGTCTCGGGGATGGAGCTATTTGGCAGGCCCCCAGCTTTACACTGGTGCAGCTCCTACAAATCTTCACATGAGCACCCCAACTCTGCCCCCATGGCTGGGGACCCTGGGCTTGTTCTACAGAGGACCAGGACAGCTGTCCCAGGGTCAGCTCGGCCTTGGAAATGCAGGAGCGGCTGGCTCCAAGTGGGAAGTGAAGCCGCAGAAGGGCTCCGGGCCACGGAAGCCAGTCCATAAATCACTTTATTTGTCCTCACTGGCATCTCTTCCTGCCCCTTCCCTAGGTCTCAAGACTGGTCAGGCGGCCACACCGGTACAGGGCAGGATTCAAGAGCTGCTGGCACCTCTACCCACACGGCAGTCTCCCAGATCTCACAGCACGCACTGTCCCGGTCAGAGCTGTCCGCCACCTTCCAGCTGCATCTGGTGGGCCAGCTGCCGCCCGATGGCCAGCAGGGGACTGGCTCTGTAGGACGGGCTGGCCAGCAGCTCCCGAAACCGGGTCCTTTCTTCCTCACTGAAAGAATGGAAAGCAGAGGTCAGCCCGGGAAGAACAAGAACCCCAAAGACTCACATGACAGACCCAGGTCCAAGACTAGAGCAGCCAGCAGGTGTTAAGGACTCAGGCATTATGCTGGCCTGCCCCTGTCACCTGGCAGAATGCACTCAGGCAGTAACTTGGTCAGCACAGGTGCAAAGGACTCCTTTAAAAGAAAGACCCCCACCCACTTATGCCCTCTGCTCTCTCTTCCCAGCCTTCTTTCCACTCTCTTCTCTTTCTGGCTATTCCTCTGGGGCAGAAAGGACTTTTCCTGTCTCCCTCTTCTCTTCTGTCCTCTTTACCTCTTTTCTCTTTCCTTCCCCCTCCACCCCTTTCTAATAAAACTTCTCACTTAAGCTCTGTCTGTCTGGCATGTTTGTCCCTCCACCTAGGTCATCCTCGCCCACCCTGGAATCCATCAAGGTTCCCCTTGCACTTTATCATAACAGCAGGGGCCCAGAGGAAGCACAAGGTTCAGTGCCAGGGACTTCCAGCAGGAGGCAAGGGCACATGGGCTGCTGAGTGCCCACCATCCAGGGGTGGGGTCACCCTACCAGTCGATCGAAGAGGGATTTGCTAGGGGCTGCTGCCAAGGCAGAAGCTGACAAACAGAAGCTCACGTGTCCTGAGGACAGATTTATACAAGAGGTGCCCACTCCTGAAAGAGATGTGCACTGGAGAGCTTGGAGCAGTGGGGCAGCTCCAGGGGCCTAGGTTCCTTAGTGACCCTGATCTCTCAGATATGCACGAGCCCTGGCTGTCAGGCCCTCTCATCCTCTCTCTCACCCTGCGTGGCCACCTTCAGCAGAGCCTGAAGACACCAGCCCGTGCTGCTTCTGAACGCAATGGCAGTCAACACAGAAGGTGTGGGGCAGTTTGAACGAAAATGGCCCCATAGGCTCGTGTTTGAGTTTTTGGTGACATTATCTGGGAAAGTAGAACTATCTGGGAAAGATCAGGAGGTGTGGCCTTGCTAGAGGAGGTATGTCACTGGGGGTGGGCTCTGAGGTCTCAAAAACCCACACCAGGGCCAGCCGCTGCGTGTGCGGATCAAGATGCAAAGCTCTCTGCTGCTGCCCCAGCACCATGCCTGTCTGCTCCCCACCTTGGTGAGCATGGACTAAGCCTCTAAAGCTGTAAGCAAGCCCCCATTATGAGCTGCCTTGGTTGTGGTGTCTCTTCACAGCAACAGAAGACTCTGTGGGGGCGAGGCACATCCTGGCAGGTAGAGCTATTGCTCATCCCAGCTATGGTGCAGAGGGAGCTGCCCTGGTCCAGGCTGGGCTATAGCAGAGGCTCGGGGAAGAGTGACTGCCAAACAGTCAGGAGGATGCTGGCCCAGCAGGAACTGTCTATACTAGCTGTTGAGAAAGACGCATGTTCACAGGAGAGGGAAACAAGAAAGACACACGCAAGCCCGAAAGGAGTCAGGTGGAGATGGATTGAGAGGTGTGGAAGAGTGATGAGGAAGCCTGAGATGCACAGTGGTGCTCTGAGGCTGAGTGCGTCTGTAGGACAGGAATGAGGCCAGCTCTGCCTACTGCCTGGTCCTCAATTCTAGCTACTCCGAAGCTGACACAAGAGGACAGCAACTTCAAGGCCTGCTTTGGTCAGAGAGAGCAAGCTGAAGACTAGTCTGGGTAACTTAGCAAGAACCTATCTCAAAAACAAGAGCTCGGAGGTGATGGCACACACCTTTAATCCCAGAACTCAGGAGGCAGAGGCAGGTGGATCTTTGTGAGTTCAAGGCCAGCCTGGTCTACAAGTTCCAGGACAGCTAGGGCTACAAAAACAAAAACAAACAAACAAAACGAAAACCTAAACAAACATGAGATACAGAATGTATCTCAGCAGTAGTGCTCAGTATGTGTGAGGCTCTGGGTACAATTCCCAGGACTGGGAAGAGAGTTGCGGCTGTAAAATTCAATACACATTTCCAAAACCAAGAGTAACCATTAAAAAGGCTTTAACCTATATATTGAAAGAGCATAAAGAGCCTCAGGAATAATTGACACAGAACACAACACTACTAAACAACAGGTTCTATATAGACAAGGAAAATCATTTTGGAAGCAGAAACAAAACAAAAAGCAACAATAACAAAAAAACCTGTGTGGGTATGAGATTCAGGCTGCCTCTTATTCCCCCGAAGCCAGCACACCACAGCAGCCAAGTCTGCAGAGGCTAAAAAAGCCAAGAATCTTCTAGCCAATCTCACATCTTAGGACAGTGTCAGTCAAGCAATACTGCTAATGGGTCAAGGTGTGGGGGTTGCGTGTGTATAACCCATGGTCAACCCATGTCCCAGCCTCCACCCCAGAGGCTGAGGGAAGGGTAATGTCCACACACTAGATGCTGTCACCACTTCCTGGAAACACTCTAGATAGGCACCCAAGGCCTAACTACAGGACAGTAAAGTTCTTGGTCCCAAAAATGTCTCCCATCTAGAGTCAGAAGACAAACCAGGACAGAGAAGAGAGTGGGAGGCTCAGAGAGGGGTGATGGTGGGTGAAGATGAAGAAATCAGGAAGAAGGCTCTGGTGGCCCAGGTGGACAGGGGGGTACTCACAGGAGCTGCTGTCTCTGGGCTGAGCTCATCCGGCTAAGCTCCACTGGCCTGGGCTTGCTGGTCACCCTGCTGCGGACACAGAGAATCCAAGTCAGTCTGACACATTTCACTAGACAATTTGTCTCTGTGGTGCCCCTGGTGTCTGTAACACTAGGTGTTCATGAGCTCCACATAGTACACTGGCTGTAGAGACTGGATCTAGATGAGCTGTGTCACCTGGCTACCATATCTGGAACTGACAACTACATTATCCAGGGTCTTGTCTTACTCCCTAGGGTTCCCATGTGATACAGTAAGGCATCACCCCAGGAAAACACATCACAGTGTGTTGATGGAGATTTTCTGGCCCAGCTGGCCCCACGGCCCTTGAGCCCCAAAATGAACACACAGATGCTACATTAATTATGAACGGTTGGCCGATGACTAGGGCTTCTTATTGGCTAGCTCTGTCTAAATTATTAACTCATTTCTATATTAATCTAAGTAGTTCCACATGGTCTTACCGGGGAAGGGTCTGTCATGTCCCACCTTCCCAGTCTCACATGGATGGCGTCTGCTCTCTGCCTACACTCCCCAGAATTCTCTTCATCTCCTAGTCCTGCCTATCCCCCTACCTCTATTAGCCACAGTGTCTTATTCATCAACCAATAAGAAAAACACAGAAGGACTTCCCCCATTAACATTTGGACCCCTAGTCTGCCACCTGCCCAACTGTATGGGAAGTACCTAAGTAGTGGGGGCCAAGGACTACAGGCCAGCTTGGACTGAAACACTGCCTCAGGTGACCTAGCTAGGTAGCTCCCTCAGCCCCACTGACTGTACGATGGGGAAGGGCACCCTAAATGCTGTTGAGAGCTTCTCCGGGTATGGTGGCAGCAGCCCGGGCCTCACAGAACTCTATACATGGGCATGCAGCAATCCTGACACTGGAAGCAAGAACACAACCTAACCAACCTGTGAAGTTCTTCCATGGGTAGACAGAAGGGGGACTTCCTAGAGCACAGCCCCATATGGTGTTTCATAACTGAAAAATTTAAAACTAGTAGATTTCCAAACATACAACAGCCAAAAATAGATTCAGAACCAAATGCAAAATGAATCCAGGATGTTTCTGGCAGAGTCTGCCTGAGTTGCATCATGCACCTTTATAGCAAGCAGCCTTGGTCCTGAAGGTAACCAGCATGCAATGCCAGCCAGCACCGCCTGACTCCTCAGCTAGGATTCAAGACATGGGAGGAGTGCCAGGGTTCTTCCTGCACAAGGTGTAACTGTGGAAACAAAGGCTTGTACCCTGTTCTTACCATTCTTCAGGTCAGTACCAGACCAGGGTGTCTTTGCACTGCATTCTTAGAGTCCTTGACTTAAAAATTGCTGTTTGACAACCTAGATGTCCCTCAATTGAACAATGGATAAAAAAATGTGGTACATTTGCACAATGGAGTATCATTCATCAGTAAAAGCAAGGACACCAGGAAATTTGAAGACAAATGGATGGAACTAGAAAAAAAAGTCATCCTGAGTGAGGTAACCCAGACCGGGAAAGACAAACATGGTGTGTACTCACTCATCAGTGAGTACTTGCTATAAAATAAAGGATAACCATGCTACAATCCACAGACCCAAAGAGGCTAGATAACAAGGAGGGCCTAAGGGAGGATACACGGATCTCTCTGGGAAGGAGAATAGAAGAGTTTTTTTTTAGTGGACTGAGGGTGGGTGGGGATGGGAACATGAGCGAATAGGTTGGGGGGTACAGATAGGGAGACTACCAAAAGGGATCACTGGAAGGGGGGACATTTGGAGGTGAGGTAGAAACCTGGCACAAGGGAATCTCCCTGGAATCTACAAGAATGACCCCAGCTAAGATTCCTAGCAATAGTGGATATGCAGTCTTAACTGGCCTCTCCTGTGACCAGATTGGTGCTTAGTCCAATTGTCACCAGAGAGGCTTCATCCAGCAACTGATGGATAAACAGATGCAGGCCCACAGCCAAACGTTAGGTGGCGCTCAGGGAATCCTGCAGAAGAGGTAGGGAAAGGATTGTAGGAGCCAGAGGGATCAAGGACACCACAAGAAACTCACAGAATCAACCTGGGCTTGTGGGACTGACCTAGGCCCTCTGCATATCTGTTACAGTTGTGTATCTTGGTACTCTTGTAGGACTCCTACAGTGGGAACAGGGGTTGTCTCCAACTCTTTTATTGGCTTTTGGGACCCTATTCATACTGGGTCACCTTGTCCAGCCTTAATACATGGGGAGGTGCTTAGTCTTACTGCAACTTGCTATGCCATGTTTTGTTGATACTCATGGGAGACCTTTCTTTCCCCAAACAGAAACAGAGGAGGAGTGGATTGGGGGTGGAAACGGAGGGGGGTAAGGAGGAGGGGCTGGGAAGAGAGGAGGGAGGAAAAACTGCAGCCAGGATGTAAAATAAATAAACAAATAAATTTAAAAGAAAAAAATGCTGTTTGTGTTGTTGGCTTGAGCTTCATAATAATGATTAAATGAAATGGGGGGGGTTAGGACATAATTTCCAGCATTTCTGAATGAGCCCTCCCTATACATACTTTTGCCATATATATGTCTACTATGTGAGGCGTCATTCTCAGCACTTTGATTATAAATAAAACTCTGAAAAACACTAAAGATACTTGACATTCTTAAGTATCAAATGTACAGTCATGACTTACTCTTTTTTAAAAAGACTTGTTTTTATTTTTACTTTTGTGTACATGTATGTGTCTGTGAGTGAATGTCGTGAGTGTAGGTGCCCATGGAGGCCAGAAGAGGGCATCAGATACCCTGGAGCTGGAGTTACAGGCAGTTGTGAATCACCCAACTTGGGTGCTGGGGACCTGAACCAGGGCCCTCTGCAACAAGCACTCTTAACCCACTAAACCACATCTTCAGCCCAAGATTTGGTTTGTTATGTTAAACAAGCATATTCATCTCATCGGAATACAATAGGCTTTCATCTTTAACAAAGGCAAAACTATATGTATCCCACAGGATTGTTTTAAAATAAGTTTCTTACTTATGATTTATTCTGTCAGTGGTTGATTTCTACAGCTACCTTATAAACCTAAGTACTTGGAGCCATATGAAACCTTCCAAGGAACCGGGCATAGTGGCGCACACCTTTAATCCCAGCACTAGGGAGGCAGAAGCCAGCAGACCTCTGTAAGTTCGAAGCCAGCCTGGTCTACAGAACAAATCCCGGGACAGGATCCAAAGCTGCACATAGAAACCCTGTCTCGAAAAACAAACAAACAAACAAACAAAAAAGCCTTCTCAGGTATAAAGGGATCATGAGTAGGAAAAGCATAAACCCTGTGGCAAAGATTTTCTTTCTTTTTATTGTTTTGTTTTTGTTTTTTAAAATAGGGGTTTTCTGTTTTGGGGGTTGTTTTTGTTGTTGTTTTGTTTTTTCCATTTTTTGAGACAGGGTTTCTGTGTAGCTTTGGCGCCTATCCTGGCACTCACTCTGTAGACCAGGCTGGCCTTGAACTCACAGAGTTCCTCCTGCTTCTGCCTCCCAAGTGCCGGGATTAAAGGCATGCACCACCAACGCCCAGCTAAAACAGGGGTTTTCTGTAGCCCTAGCTGCCTTGAAACTTGCTCTGAAGACCAGGCTAGCTTCAAATTTATAGAACTGCCTTCTCTGCATCCCAAATGCTGGGATTAAAGGTGTGCGACACAACAGCCAGCCTATTTGAGAGAATTTCATCTCTCGTAAGTAGGTTGGCTGGTGACAGCATGGTCTACAGTCTACCTCAGGAATCCTGTGGACCCTCCAACCCAGCTCCAGTGAGAGAGCAGCCACTACAGGGGGTACCTGGCGGGTACTGTGAAGACCCTTAGGCCACTGCCACACAAAAGTACTAGGCCACACCATGGACTTGCAGTAGACCAGGTAATGGTGGTATGGGGGAGAGTCCCTTGGAGCCTAGGACATGAGGGGGATGTGACTGTGGTGGGCAGAACGTGTGGCCATTTAGCCACAGCACCTTCCTTCCCACTGTGAAGGGCACTGCCCTGGACGAGGCCAGTTTAACAGAGTACAGAGATACTTGGGGCCCGAACTCCCAAAGGCCAGTTAAGGGGCTGGCAGAGTGCAGGTATGGAGAAGAGGGGCCTAAGGCAGAGTCACTGGCATGGTGAACATCCCCAGCTATAGTCCTCGGTGCTGGGTGAGTCTCCCATCCCAACTTCAGCTCTGCCTCTGGGACTCCCATGCTCTGCCGAGTGTCTCTTCCCTTTACTGTACAAACCACGGCCATAGTGTAATGGCTCTCTCTAAGACCTCCGGATCCCTCCAGAATCACCAAAGTGGAGTACATGTTCGGAGTTGCCAGAGTGAGGACAGCCTTGTAACGCTCTCCTAACCCCAAGTACAATTGTTCAGGCTGGCACGTGGACTGGAGCATGTGCTCTGTTAGAAGTAAGACTGTGGAGTGACCAGCACTCCAGCCTCAGATCCGCTACCTGGCATCAATCTCCAAGGCAAGGAACCAGGCTCCCTGGAGAAACACCTGGTACCAGGACCAGGCAGAAGATGCCCACAGTGAGCTCCCAGGATCTGCTGACATCAGGAGGTGAGGAAGCACTCAGACACACCCACCCCATAGATGGGCAGATAGATCGGAGCCACCTGGGAACTACTAAAAGAAATGCTGCTGGCCACCACTGGAACAATAATAATAATTCAGCAATAAATGAAGAAGTATTGGATGACAGCCCAAAGCATAAAGTAGTCACTCAGTCTACGAGAACATAAACCAACGATGGGTAAAGACTCAGCAAAGAGGCAACGCTCCCTCTTCAGCAGAACCTGTCCCTGCAGACCCTGTCCCTGAGGAAAGGGAGCATAGCTCCCCACCCTGGGCCCAGTGTGGCCACTTCCATCCCAAAGGCACAGAGTGGGAGGGGACAGAACCCAGCACAATGAGAATTCTGGGAAACACACCTCCATTGGGTGGTTCAGTGATGAGTTAGCCTAGCGGCGTGTGGCTGGATAATGTCATGAAGATGGCTGCAGTCTGCATGAGCTCTGGCAACCCAGGTCTTTTCTACCCTCAAGAAAGCACGGGCATACTTTAATGGGGGGGGGGGGGGGCCAAAAAAAGTTAAAATTGCTGGGGGTAGCACACACCTTTAATCCCAGCATTCAGGAGGCAGAGGTAGGTGATCTTGTAGTTAGAGGTCAGCCTGGTCTACAGAGCAAGTTCCAGGACAGCCAGGGCTACACAAAGAAACCCTGTCTAAACGCCGGCCCCCAGTTCCCCCAAAACTCCTGCCTCAGTCTGAAAAGCTCAGAATCAGGAAGAGCCTGAGGAAACAGGAGGACCACATTTCAAGTTCCCTCCTGTAAATTACTATTTTGTGGGGTGCATTCACATAGGTGCATTCATATAGTCTGTACACGTATATGAGTGTGTGCGCATGCCCATGTGAAGGCCAACCTCTGGCGTCTTCCTCAATAGCCTTACCTCACTTTACTTGGAGCTCATCAACTTGGCTAGGCTGGCTGACTAATGAGCTCCAGAAACCTTGCTGTCGACACCCACGTGGCACTGGGGTTACAGAGGCCATGTCCAGACTTTTACACGGGTGCTGGAGATCCCAACTCAAGCCAGCAAAAGTGCACAGCAAACACCTGATAGACTGAGACACCTCCTCAGTCCCCTAATTACTGCTTTAAATTTAGTATGTGAGACTAAGCGCACTGGGTACATGTGTGAAAGAAAGCATTAGGGTTGGGACAATATGGGAGCCTTCTCTCACCGCAACTGAAGCAATCCTGTGCAGACACATAGCCCCAACGCATTCCTCTCTGGGCTGGCAGAGTAGGCTGTTTTTGCAGCTCCCTGCCATTCTGGGAGCCCCAAGCACATTTTTCAGATGAGAAAACTATTAAGAGGGAAGGGACCCTTGTCCAGGGTCACATTTTTTACTTAAGAACCAGGAATGGAATCTGCATCGCTGGCTCTGCTCAACTGTTGAGTCTTGACCTTGTGTCAGTGCCGAGTCTGGCCTGAGCAGAATGGGTGTTCTGTCTTGGGAACCTAGCCCTTGGCCGTCTGGCTCTATAGCATGTCATCCACCTGCCCCACGGTAAGGGTGAGGGCTCACAGATGAAGTGCACGTAGCCTTTGCTTTATCCTCAGATGAAAATTCAGTAGGAGAAAGAATTATTTTTCTAAAAAGGTAAAATAAGAGGTCACAAGCGTCAGCCGGGCAGTGGTGGCGCACGCCTTTAATCCCAGCACTCAGGAGGCAGAGGCAGGTGGATCTCTGTGAGTTCGAGACTAGCCTGGTCTACAAGAGCTAGTTCCAGGACAGCCTCCAAAGCCACAGAGAAACCCTGTCTCGAAAAACCAAAAAAAAAAAAGAGGTCACAAGCCTCATGTGGTAGCTCACATCTGTAATCCCAGCACTTAGAAGGCTGAGGCAGGAGGACTGCAATATGCTCAAGGTTGGTCTGTGTTACACAGTGAGTTCCAGACCAGCTTGGAAAGCGAGACTGTGCCACCTCACCCTTGTTGCCACCACCCTCAATAACAACAAAAGACAGACAGAAAACAGACCAGGAATGACAAATAGATACCGAAAGCCCCTCAACTATGAGCAGAGAGCCCTGAAGCTCCTCCATCTGGCCCAGAGCTCAGCTCCGCACTTTTGAGAGCCCCTTGCCCTGTGCCCATCCTTCATCCTTTCACTACACAAAAAGGACAGACACACTTAGGGCTGTGTGGGTTCCATGCCCACTCACTGAGGTCTCCCCAGAGTGCCCAAGTACAGACACTCGCCCTTGGTGGGGACCAGGGGAGGGGGGAACACAGGTGGCAGGAGCTGTCTGCAAGGGGAGCAGGAAGGTCAGTGGATGCACAGCAGTGGCCACGAGGCCTGCGCCTGACTGCACATGGAGGCGGGAAACTGAGGCCACTGGCAAAAAGGCATGAGGGAACACATATCGATGGGCTAGCCAGGCTGCCACCAGGGGTGAATCCGGGTGTTCCTTTCACAACAGTCACTACATTCAAGGATGAGTCTCTCTGGGCCACGTGTGGCTTGAGTGTTGACTGTTCACCTTGCAGAGATGGAAGCTTGCATAGACCACCATCGATCCCCCCTTCCCCTCTGAATGCAGGGCTGTGGGGATCCAGGGCTCTGCTCAGCCAGCTTTATGGCTTCAATTTCTGAGGGGAGAGACAGGAGTACATGCCAATTAAACCCCATTCCCCAGCCCCCCCCTGCCACCAGAGGCCACCAATGCCAAGGCACCCACTAAGCTGAATGCACCCTGGGGCCTGCTTGTTCCCAGAGAGCAGAAGTATTCTTTGTTTCCCTGCTGTCACCTGCTCTGCGCCCCTAAAGACTTGGGGGGCGGGCCAGCTCTGAGTTATTTTTTTCTTCTTAATCACAGAGGCACATTTTAATTACAGGGCTGACTATAAGCTTGGAACTGCAGCACAGGGGACCGCCTCCTCTATGAGGGGCACAGTGCAGAGCCTGGGCACACAGACATGAAGGGAGGCTGCAGTGCAGGACCTGGGCACACAGACCCAGTGGGGGGCCTGGCACAGGGACAGTTGACAGATGCAGGCCCGAGGCTCCATTTCCATAGGTCGCTTACTGAGAAGCCACAATGTCCTTTTTATCCTGGGCAATCTAGAACCACGTGGTACCTCCTTGAGACTGTGAGATGGGGAGAATGGCCTCATGGGAAGGAACTGACAGCCACAGGGAACAGCAGGGAGCAGGGTGGGTGGCCAGGTGGCATGCACAGCACTAAAGTCAGAGAAAGTTCACTGCAGGGCACAGCCTTGGGATCCAATTTTCTTCAAAAGATGGATTCAATTCCAAATTGCTAATATTACAAGTACTTCAACTTGCTATTTGCCCGCATGTGGCTGTGGGGTGTATACAGTTCTGGGACAAAGTCCCACCCTCTGTGGGTGACAAAGCAACACAAGGACTTTTAGTGGGAAACTTCAAGCATGCAGAGACCCTAACAGAGGGGTAAGGAACCAGCAGCTTCCTCCTCCTCAGCACAGCATGAGCAACTGTGCCACCACCTACAGCTGGGAAGATGCCTCACAGGGAAGGTCAAAAAGCACCCCACCCCCACCCCTGAAAGCAGGTCCTACACAGCAGGGTCTATCACTTCACCCTGAGACAAAGACAGCTCTCCAAGCCCTCTGCCCAATGCAGCCTGAGAGACTCCATGGATTCATAAAGTGACAATTTAGTGTGTGGGGGGGGGGGGATCATTCTAGCTGGAACAGAGCAAACAATTCACTTAGTACCTCATCAAAACTAGTCCCTCTTCCTTGAGCTAGTCTGGGGGCTGAACTTCCCTGGCAGAAAGAGAGCAAGGCTGAGGAAGACATGCAGTACAGTCACACACAAGCAAATCTAAGCCAGATATGCCCAAACAGGGTGACCTAGGGCGTGCAGGGATAGTTTGGTGTCTGGAAGCTGTTATAACCCACCATGACCCATGACAATGCTGGCTAAAAGGGGAAAACCTGGTCACTGGATGTACCAGAAGAGATGTGGTAAAACTCATTATCTAGTCGTGGTAAAAATTACAATGAAACCATAAACAGATCTAAGACAGCAAATACCCCATCCGTTTCTACTGAGCTCAACAAGATAGCAGAGCCAACCATAGTCTCTTACACTCGAGTCTACCAGTGAGGCAGAGACAGAGGCGGGAGAAACAGCAGGGAAACGGTAGGAGTCAAGGCAGATGTGCCCTGCCTCAACCCCTAACCACACTGCAACAGGGAGGGCTTTATCCAAGCTGAGCTCAGAAACTAATCTAAATCCCATTCTTAAACGAACAAAACAAAACCAAAACCCTTAAACGTTAGAGACAGGAGGGTAAGAAGTTCACGGTCTCCAGGACCGTCCAGGATATTCAAGGCCCTGTCTCCAAACATAAAAGTCCCAATGTGAACAAGACCTTATTTCCACAGAATAGGCAGAAAGGCAGAAAGCAGGTCTATTAACCCTTGAAACAAACAAGGATGGAGTCCAGAGCGGAGTGCAGACAAAGACAGAGAAGTGCACGCACCTGCTGCTGCCCCTCACTCCCTACACCTGATAAGGCCACAGACATTCAAGGGCCATCATCAAAACATGCTGTCCCAGGGAGGGAGACCATTCCTCAGAGATCTGACACTGGGGTGGTTAAGTCAACAGGCAGAGTGGGGCAAAAAGGAGTGAGGGACAGGACAAAGGTAAAGCTTGGGACAGTTCTTCACAGTGACAGCAATGAGAGACACCGTTAAAAAAAGTCCCAGAGAATCCAGTGTAGCCCCAGACGTAAGACATGACCTTAGCAAGATCACAAATGTAAGGTTCCTATTTAAAAAAAAAATCACTTGTACTTTTACAACTTTTAGAAGTTTGCACAAAACAACACACACACACACACACACACACACACACACACACACACACTCGGGGGAGAACATCTGCAACACTGATAATGGAAACTAAGGAAACCTAGACCAATGATGAGACAATCCTGTTCCTAGATTTTGATTCAGTGTTGGTGACAAACCCTCCTGAAGTTGACCTACAGACTTAATGCAACACAGATCATGATTCCTCTAAGCTTTTGTTGTTGTCTTTAAGAAAAATGGAAAAGTAACAGTAAAATTAAATGGACACGCTGAGAACCGGCAATACCCAGAGCATCCTAAGACAAAGGAGCAGAGAAGGCCTTGTGTGACTGTCTCCCTGCTGGAACTACAATGATCAAAGCACAAGCATGGGACAGAGGAAAGCCACGTGACTTTCAAAAAACGACAATCCAAACAGCAACAGTCTGTATCAGACTGTGGCAGGACTACCCACCAACTCACAGCTGACAGACGCCACGTCAGGGTGGATCACACCTAAGGACTAGCCAGGCTGGGCACTTTCAAAAGGGAAAGAACAGGGCAAGGCATCTTCGTGACTCCGGGTTAGGTGCTCTTTGGGGGGTTTTGTTTGTTTAGGAGACAGAGTCTTTTATCTAGCTCTGGCTGCCCTGGAACTCACTACGTAGACCAGGCTGGCTTCAAACTCAGAGATCAACGTAGGCAAGGCTTTCTTAAACAAAGTACATTGTAACCATATGGAAAAATAAATATAGGTTAGATTTTTTTAAAATTAAATTCTTATAGTTTAAAAAAAAAAGGGGGGGAGAGTCCATGCATTGGTGGCACACGACTTTAATCCTAGCATCCAGGCGGCAGAGGCAAGCAGATCTCTATAAGTTCAAGGCCTGGTCTACAAAGCAAGTTCCAGGGCAGCAAAGGCTACAGAGAAACCCTGTCAAAAGTTAAGAAAATAAATGGGCAAAACAGTCTGCAAGGAATACAGCACACACAGCTGACCAAGACCAGCAGGTCCCCTCCAGAACACACAGCTGACCAGGGCTAGCAGGTCCCCAGAACACACAGCTGACCAGGGCCAGTAGGTCCCCAGAACACACAGCTGACCAAGACCAGCAGGTCCCCAGAACACAGAGCTGACCAGGGCCAGTAGGTCCCCAGAACACACAGCTGACCAAGACCAGCAGGTCCCCAGAACACACAGCTGACCAGGGCCAGTAGGTCCCCAGAACACACAGCTGACCAGGGCCAGTAAGTCCTCAGAACACACAGAGAATCCCCAAGCTCAGTAATAAAAACACAGAGAAAAATGAACCTCACTGAAGATGAACCGCAAAGGAGATGTACACACAGGACAGCACTCTGCCACAGAGCAAAGACCTTCATGCCATGAGATGTTAGCCCATGTCACCAGATACATGACTGAAGACACACACACACACACACACACACACACACACACACACACACCCAACACACACACTCACCATTGATCAGCACGGCTGTGTAGCCACAACTCTCATGCTGCTGGAGGGGCGCACATGAACGACTGCTTCAGAAGAATGTCTGGCAGTTGCTTATAAAACTAAACATACACCTGCCCTATGACCCAACATTCCATTCCTAACTATTTACATAAGAGGAATAAAAACATGTCCACAGAAAGACTGAAGCAAATGCTCACACAGCCTTATTCACTCCAGACAAGATGGAAAGACAGATATCCATCAACAGGAGACAGGGCAGCAAAGACGGGCAGTGTGATGCCTTTAAGCCATGGGCCTGGCCACTGCTGCAAGTAGTACAGCCTAGCAGGAAGGCAGAGTACCTACCACCTGTGTGCGTGCACTCCCAGGAGACAACAGCAAACCAACCACAGACATGCCCAACATGACACCTCACCCTGGGCAGTCAGGTGGTAGATGGAGCTGTCAGAAGTCACTGTTGTGCTAGGCAAACACACTCTTCACAAGAGAACAGAGAGGATCACAGACAAGCTAAACGCTAGCCAACCTATTTGGGTGCAAGGGTACAAATGCTCCCAACTTGCTTCGAAATGCACTAAGAAGATGCTGATGGGTAGGCAGAATGGACCAATGAGCAGCTGAGAGGTAAAGAAGTACAGTGCTAACTGAAGACAGCCCCCGCCATATTCTGAGAACGGGGAGTCACACAGCGTGAGGGGAAGATAGCAGGACTGGTAATTAGTAGCCAGGATTCTTAGACTAGAGAGATGAAGCTTCTTAATGAATCTCATCAGAAATGGCAGAACACAGACAAGAATGACAAGAAAAACTCAGCAGTTAACAGCTCTTCCTGAGGACCCAGGTTCAGTTCCCAGCACCGGCAATGTGGCTCATACCACATTATAACTCCAGTTCCAGGAGCTCTGATGCCTTCTTCTGACCTCGGCAGGCATGTGGACCAATCATTCACACAACATAGGAAAGGTATCTATCTAATGAGGAAGCAGGGCCGGAGATGTAGCTCAGTGGTAGAACACTTGTCTAGCATCAGAAGGACCCTAGGTTCAACCCTCAGTACTGGAGAAGGGTGGTGGCGGACACAGGGAGGAAGAAGCAATACAAGGCCTTTTGCTAATAATGTCTGAGATCTGATGAAATTAAACTGTTTAAGAAGAGATCATGAACAATTAAAGCTGACTCAGATGGATCAACCAGCAGGAACAAAAAGTTCCGTATCAGAAGCAAACCTCAGATGCGGCCAGGTCCTGCAGCCGAAGCCTCCGCATTTCCTGCTCAGCACAGAGAATACACCGCACAGCCTTTTGCTAGGAATTATGAGAAAGTGAAGAGAGCAGCCTATTTCTTTAAAAAACACCCGAAATGTAACAAAATATAAAACTAGTAATCACTGAGGAAATTGGTCAATTTCTATAAATACTGCTTCAAAAAAAAACACTCTTTAAAGTTTTCAAGAAAAAAACTTGAGAAAAATGACCTTATTTCCAAGAAAAAATAAAGCAAATCATATTTCAACATGCAAGAACACAAAGATGAAAATGTTCCAAATTAACTCCCAAAGTAGGCAGAATCACACCAAAAAGATAATCGCTAAGAAAAAAAAATTACAAAACAAATCTTTGCGATTTTCAAGTAAACAGGAAAATGCTTAGGAAAAGTCACACATAATCAGCATTATGGAAAAAAAAATAAAATAATTTAAAAAAAAAACAAAAAACAAAAAATGCCTAATACAAGAAGGGAAGGGAGTGAGGGAGAGCTGCTCCATCTGCTCCAGATGCCTGACTGGAGACCACGACCAAAGCCAACTTCAGACACGCCAGGCAAGCCGCCATACTCCTGTAATCCTACAGATCAGGAGGTCAAGGTCAGGTTTGGCTATCTATCCAGGGAATTAAGCCAGCCTGGGCAGTAGAACACCATTATAAAACAACAACAACCAACCTCAACCAGACCTGGAAAGACCTGCAGACAGGCTGACCTTTGTGGGGGTCTGACCCCACAGATATACATGTTACCTCTGTAGTTAAAGCTGTCATTATGGAGCCCCAAACAGACGCTGTCCCAAAGGGACAGAGAACAACTTTCAAGATGGGTTACTACAGAAGAGGAAGCAAGGATGTTGCAGGTGGCTCGTGGCGGTCTATGTCTACCCTGGGGACAGACTACCTCATGAAGCCCTGACTCCCTCTGTGTGGCCAAGTGAAGCCAGTCACTGAGTGCTGCCTCTAATGCTTCCCAGGGAGCTCCTCCTGGATCCCACCAGGGCCTCTGAGGACAAAGACATGACCAGCATCCACGGGGCAGAAGTCCAGCCATGTGACACCAGTGTCCGGATGAGAATGGGCCAAGTGTGGCTAATTCACAAGATAAGGACACGAACTTACTCTGTAGCCATCGCTCATGGCGAAGCCTCAGCTTTTCCTTCTTGGGCAAAATGGTCTTTGGCTCTGTACCTGAGGAGAGAGAACACATGAGTGAGTGAGCAGTGAGGTCAGACTGTGTCTATTCAGCCCAGGTCCCTCCACCCCTGCAGAGGCTAAAGCCAAGGACAAGGCAGGCTGTGACCATGCTCAGGTGATGAACAGTCCTACACTTTCAGCCTCAGGGCTCCACACAGCAGTGGGTCCCTATGTAGGAACACTGCTGTAAAGCTCTCCAAGCTCTGCTGGCCCTCCAGTGTAATGTGGGGTTGTCTCGGTGCCAACCCCAGGTCCTGGACATGACACATCTCCACCTTGCTTGCCAGCCATTAGGACACAAAGCTTGAGAACAAAGTCCCCAGGAGAGCTCCCATCACTGAACAACAGCCCACAGCCTCTCATCTCTGGCTCTCTACCCTATCTTGACTGGTGGTAGCTTCACCTGCCTGGTTCTGTCCTCTCTTCCTTGTGCTCCTGGCCTCAGGTAACCTGCTATGTGTGTTGGCACATCCCTACTGTACGGGCTGAACTGTGTTCCAAACCCACGTGCCGCAATGCTAACTCTAGGTTCTTTAGAATGGAATGGCAGGCAGCCAGGCATGGAGCTCATGCCTATTATAATCCTAGCACTCAGGAGGCTGAGGGAGGAGAAATGCCACACTTTTGAGGCCAGCTCAGGCTACAATGAAAATTTCAGCTACAAAGTGAGACCTTGTCTCAAAACATTTGTTCCGAAGTAAAAGCAGTATGACTATCTTTGGAGACAGGGAGAGAGAGAGATGGTTTGAGGCCAGCTCGGGCTACAATAAAAATTTCAGCTACAAAGTGAGACCTTGTCTCAAAACATTTGTTCAGAAGGAAAAACAGTATGACTGTCTTTGGAGACAGGGAGAGATGGTTAGTTCTGAATGCCAACTGAACATAATGGGAGGGTCGTCTCAATGAGAAATCGTCTAGATTATGTTGGCCTATAAGGGATTTTCTTAATTGGACTGAGGTGGGAAGATCCACTGGGAAGATGGGTACTACCAATGCAGGGGCTAAGCTCTGGATTGAATGAAAAGCAGAGGGCAGGCTGGACAGTGGTGACGCACACCTTTAATCCAAGCACTGGGGAGGCAGAGGCAGGTGGATCTCTATGAGTTGGAGGCCAGCCTTGTCTACAGAGAGAGTTCCAGGACAGGCTCCAAAGCTACACAGAGAAACTATGTCTCAAACCTCCCCTCCCCCACAAAAAAGCAGAGGGCAAACTCAGCACTAGTATGCTTACATTGTCTCATTGCTCTCTGCTCTTGATCATGGATACAATGTGACTGGCTAATTCAAGTTCCTGTTGCCTTTCTGTCCCCGAATTGATGGGACTATAACCTGGAATTGTGAGCCACATAAACCATTCCTCCCTTATGTTGTTTTTGTCACATTTTATCACAGCAACAGAAAATAAAACTAAGACACAGGTCTTGGGGATGGAGAGATGGCTCAGAGGTTAAGAGCACTGGCTGCTCTTACAGAGTCCAGGTTCGGTTCCCAGCACCCACATGGCAGTTCACAACCATTTGTAATTCCAGTGTTAAGGGATCCAACGCCCTCTTCTGACCTCCACAGGCAATGCATGCACGTGGTACACTTACATACATGCAGGCGACATTCTAATACAAATAAAATGAAAACAAACAAATCGTTTTCTTAAAGGCACAGGGTCCACAAACAAAGGCAGTTTAAATAAAATGTGGTCCCCTTTACAAACGAGGTCATCAAGGTGGCCCTGAACTTGCTGACTGGTATTCTTATGAGGACCATGAGACAGACAGGGAAGGCCACAGAGAGAAGACAATATCAACCAGGCAAGAGGGACCAATGGAATTGAGCCCTCCCTCTTACAACTGGGTCGCACAGTTGAGCCTCCAAAGCCACTGAGACCATATGCACTTAAACCACTGGGTCTGTGGTACTGCCAGGCACACTCATCTTCTTATATGATGAAGAGCAACCAGCCAGGCAGAGGACTTACAGAAGTCCCTAGTCCCTGCCAGCCATGACTGCAGGCAGAGGGCCTCTCTGTGGCTGAATGCTCACTTGCCTGGGGGCATTTAAGAACACAGGTTATATCTCCACCAGGAACCAGACAACATGGCCCTATTTTTCAAAGGCAAAAACCAGGGCTCACCACAGCATGCTCTGTGTGGTAACATCAGCTAGACCTGTCCCAATTAACCAGAAGTTGGCTGACGGTGGAACACAGACAAATGGACTATGTAAGCAGACAGCACTGATGGGCTGGCTCTGAGGAGCCTGGACAATGCCAGCAGGGCTGCCTCTTCTCTGAGAATGATCACAGCCCACTCTTAGTACAGCTGGAGCCAGCTAGGGTCACCACCAGCCAGTGCAGCACCTCCTGCCTATAGCAAATAAGTAGGACTAAGCATGGAACTGAGACACTAGAAGGCAAAAAAAAAAAAAAAAAAAAGGAAACTGGTTACTGGGCCCCCCGAGCCCCACATCCTGGGGCAACTTGGTGGCATGGCTTCTTGGTGGGATGTGTACATCTCTGAAATAAACCTGGAACCCCACTTGATGGAAACACCAGGACTAGGGCCAGGGTCAGTGGGGTCAGTTCACTGGTGTCTCGGCTGCTAGTCTGCTCCAAAACAACACAAGGATGGTCCGTGCCCTTGGCCTTAACTGACTTTCCTAGAGATGACATGGCTTTAGCTGCGGACACATGCTCCCAATGTATGTAGGAAACCCGGTCTCCTGCCATCTTACGCACTGCACGAGGATGTTCCTGAATAGTACAATAGAGAAGCTGCCATGTTTAAGGGTAAACAAGGCATAGGCAAGTCCTGTCTCGGGAAGCTGGAGACCCTTGTTAAGCTACTTCAGCCTTCGCTGAGGGATCAGGAGGCACAGAGCCTCCGCAGCTGGTGACTCAGTTCCTTCCCACAGTTACAGCCAAAGTGCTGGAGTCCTGTGTCCCTGCTTCTAGCCTGGAGCCCACCTGCCCTCCTGCTCTCCACCTCTAATTACTCATTTTCCACTAGAAGGAAGGGCTGGGAATGCACTGAGATGGGGGCTATGGAGGGGGTTGGGGGTAAGAGGGCCCAGGGTTCAGTCATTGCTCCCCCGGTAGGTCTGACGATGCAGCATCGAATGCGCTACCCTGAGCTTCAGTGTGCCCTAGAACCATACCTAGGCAGGTGTCACAAGACTAGGTGTGCAATGTCAGACCACAAGTGAGGTGACAAGGCCTACATGTGAGGTGTCAGGCTGGGGTGGGATTTGAGGGCTTATCTGAGGGTACAAGAAAAAAATGGGCTTAGCACAGCCAAGACAGCACCAAGGGATGTGTGTGGGGGGGGCGCCCAATGGTAAGACATCCAGGGGGCAGGAAGTAATTCTCCCTAGATGATTCTTTCAACTTTCTGTAATGCTGCAATTACTCCAAAGTAAGAATAACACCCAAGGTCAGTGGAAACTGGCCCAAACAGTAACAGGCCTAGCATCACACGGCATGAGGGATGCTGGAGCAGGCTACGGAGAATGCTAGCTAGAATGTGACCCTCTCAGCCCTGCCCGGCCCCCCAGAAACAGAACTGAACAGGCTGTTCTCGCAGATGCAAAGGGTTTGGAATGCTGAGGTCATGCAGAAGCTGAAGCCCTGACCCAGCCCTCGGGGTCCCACTGCACTTGGCACTGATGTTTGCCCTCGCTTCACTGCACTCTGCACAGGCTAACGGCAACTCCCCATGGGCAGAAAGACGGGCCCAGAAACCAGCAGCAACCAGACAGATAGGTGCAGACTCCATGATGAGGACAAGGGGATGGGTGTGATGGTAGCTGGCCTGTGCTGGTTAGAATACGCACACAGAAGGGGCCGTGGCTGCTGCCCAGACAGGGAACCTCTCGGGAGCTCAGCCCTAGCTGTGGCCGGGACAACAGGGCTTTCAAGTGTAGCTGTTTCCAGGCTTCTCCCTGACTAACAGTTGTCACAGCATCAGCTGCAGCCCTCACACCACGAAGGAAGGAAGGAGACAGAGCCCAGCAAGCATTTCTGAGGAGTGACAAAGTGACAATAGCGACAGCCATACTGGGGCAGGACACCTCAGCCCAGGCTTCTTTACCAGACAACTGGAACTTGAACAGGTGCAGGACTGCAGGTCCAGAGCAGGCCCAGCTGCAGGACTATGACCCCCCAATCTACAGTTTACCCCCATAGGACGAGCAAAACATTTAAAATAAAACTTGCAACACAGCTGAGGCCTACACCAATCGACACTGGCCAGTATGAAAACAGGATGACTGGACAGACAGGAAGGGCCAGAGCAGCAGCAATGTCAACCCTGTACCAGTATCTTCCTAGCGCGAGAAGGAGATGTCGCCACCCGGTCCTCCTGGGCTGCTCAGGACCCACAGCACCCAAGGAGAGTGGCAAGCACCCTGCATGGGTCGGTTTTTTATTACTGTGAGAAAGCAGCTGAGATAAGCAGCACTGGAGAGGCTGAGGCGAGAAGACTGTCATGAGCTCAGGGTTAGTGAGAGTGAGGCAGTTTAAAAAGGGAGTGGCTGGATAGCTCAGGCTAAGAGTGCTTGCTGTCTGTGGTGATACTTTGTGTTTTAACAAGTAAGGCTTGCCTGAAGATCAGAGTGCGGAGCTAGCCACTAGTTAGCCATAGATGCCAGGCAGTAAATAGTGGCGCACACCTCTAATCTCAGCACGAAGAAGGCAGAGGCAGGTGGATCTCTATGAGTTCAAAGTCACCCTGGGCTACGTGAGATTGATCCAGTCTAAAAGAGAAACAGACCCAGGTGGTGGTGGCTCACACCTTTAATCTCAGTACTTGGGGGGGGGGGGTCACACGCCTTTAATCCCAGCACTAGGGAAGTAGAGACATGAGGGATATGGCTGGGCAGAGAGAGGAATATTAGGTGGGAGGAGACAGGAGCTCATGGCATGCGGTCTAAGCAATCAGTCTGAGGAGGCAGTTTGAGGACAGGATCGCTCGCCCCTTTGGTCTGAGGATTCAGTAGAGGAA